TTGTAAGACAGTCTGCGGGATTTTAATAAATGCCTTGTCTGCCTTTACAAAAAAAAAAGAGAAAAAAGAGGAAAAAAAAAAAAAATTGTGTTTCATCCAGACTGGTTTTTGGGATGAAAGCATAAAATATAAAATCAGAATTTTATATTCAGTATTTGTGTGACGTCATCAGCTGTGGGCGTGGCCTAAATGATCTCTGAACATGTCTGAACTTGTCCTTCATGACTCAGTTTGGGTGACCTCATCAGGAGAAGAGCCAATCAGAGCAGAGATCTCCACAGCCTCAACCTAGGAGTAATCAGATTACAACCAAACATGATTACTTCCTGTATTCAACCGGGTTTCACAGAAAAACAGTAACAGTTCTGGTTTCCTCACATGACCTGTTCAGAACCAAACAGAACCGTTTCTGTTTTTGTTCTTCCAGAGTCCGTGGGGTTCTGTGGTCCCGGCGGCGCCGGCCTGCTCCCTGACAGAGGTGATGAGCGAGCAGCTGGCCCGGCAGCTGGATGAGGAGAACCAGGGCTTCCCAGCGCTCCCACAGTGAGTCCGGTTCATACAAACCGCCTGGTTCTGACCCGCTTGTTGGGTTCTGTAACCCTGTTCTGCTCTGTCCCAGCCCGGCAGCCGACCCGGAAAAAGGTCCGGACACGGAGAGCGACCTGATGCTGGCCCAGATGCTGCAGATGCAGTTCGACCGCGAGTTCGACGACCAGCTGCGCCGCGAGGAGAGGAAGTTCAACGGAGACAGCAAAGGTAGACCGGGTTCTGGTTCTGGACCGGTTTCTCACAACCACTGAGACATCGGGTCCAGAACCAGTTCATGTTTTAGACTGAATTTATTCCTGATTCCTTCCAGAGGTGCAGACTTCCTGTCCGTCCACATCTGAACTGATTCCTGATCCAAATGAACTGATTCCTCTTGTATAACTGAATCTCTTTAAAATAAAATGAAGCAACGTTCAGCCTGGCTGGGGCAAACCCTGTGGTCCAGACTGCTCAGTACTCTGTTCTGACCCGGTTCCATGTTGTTCTGGTTCTGTCTGCAGTGTCCATCTCCTTTGAGAACTACCGGAAAGTCCATCCGTATGAGGACAGCGACAGCTCAGAGGACGAGGTGGACTGGCAGGACACGAGACACGACCCCTACCGGGCCGGTGAGGTCCGCTGCAGCACGGGTCAGGGGTACTGTCCGGAACCAGCGGGTAACCTGTGTGTGTGTGTGTGTGTGCGGTCCAGTGAAGCCCCAGACGGCGCCCCGCAGAGGCTTCAGTGGGAAGGGGAAGAACATCACCACCAAACACGACGAGGACGCCTGCGGACGGAAGAACACGGCCCGCATGGACAACGTGAGTCCATCTGCCTGGTTCTGGTCTGGTTCTGGTTGTTGTCATGGTAACCAGTTTGTCTCTCTGGCCCAGTTCGCCCCGGAGGTCCACGTGGGGGACGGGTTGGGGATGGACCTGAAGCTGTCCAACCAGGTCTTCAACTCCTTGAAGCAGCACTGCTACAGCGAGCAGCGCCGCAGCGCCCGGCTGCACGAGAAGAAGGAGCACTCCACCGCCGTACGTACCCGTCCCGGGCTCCAGACCCGGCTCTGGCTCCGGTTCTGACCCGTTTCCCTCCACAGGAGCAAGCCGTGGACCCGCGGACCCGCCTGCTCATGTACAAGATGGTGAACAGTGGAGTTCTGGAGAACATCAACGGCTGCATCAGCACCGGCAAGGAGTCGGTGGTGTTCCATGCCGACGGAGGGAGGTGAGGCCAGGATCCGGGTCAGAACCGGGCTGGACGGTCTGGACCCAAACCATTTGGCTCACAACTCAACCGGACCGATCAGGCAGTTCGGTCGGGTTCTGACAGATTCCCGACTCGATTCTTTGTCAAATCAGAACTTTCCTGAGTTCTGATCTGTTCAGACTGGAACAGGTTTGTTTCTGGGATCGTGTCGGGTCTCTGTTTAGACAAGGGTCTGAACCCGACCGATCCGCCTGGTTCCGATCCGCCTGGTTCCGATCCGCCTGGTTCCGATCCGCCTGTTTCTGTGTGTCCCAGCCTGGAGGAGCAGCCGGTCCCGGAGGAAGTGGTTCTGAAAGTCTTCAAGACGACGCTGAACGAGTTCAAGAACCGGGACCGCTACATCAAGGACGACTACCGCTTCAAAGAGCGCTTCAGCAAACTGAACCCCAGGAAGGTGATCCGGCTCTGGGCCGAGAAGGAGATGCACAACCTGGCCAGGTACCAGAACGGCCGCCGTGTTTAACCGGCGGAATGGCCGCCGTGTTGCGCCGCCTCAATCATAGTGGAGATCCACAGGTGACGTCAGGACAACGTCACCTCTGGATCCAACGTTGGTTGGATCTTTTAAGGGTTGTTTTCTCAGGATTGATCTAGAAATACTTTTATCTCATTCTTCTTTCGCCTTCTCTACTTCTGTTGTCCAGTTTTGCTCCTGAAAGCGGCGCAGCGACACTTAGCCAGACAGGAAGAAGGAGGCGTTGGTTTTTCCAAATTTTTAGCCTTTTATGATATATGATATTCTTTACACCGTTTTAACATGTATTTAAAAGGTAAACATGGTTCTGAAGGTGTGGCAGGTTTCATTTTGTCGTGGCGTTGCGCAGCGCTAACGTAGAGGAAACCCTGGACTGAAACCATGGCAACCTTGTCCTCAGGATGAAGAAGGCGGGGATTCCCTGTCCAGACGTGGTTCTGCTGAAGAAGCACATCCTGGTGATGTCGTTCATCGGGAAGGACCACGTTCCTGCGCCCAAGATCAAAGACGTGGCTCTGGGGTCCGAGGAGGCGGCGGAGGCGTACCGCCAGGTGCTGCAGGTAGGACACATCCACACATCCTTAAAATGTCTGAAATTCATCAAAGGAAACCCAAACTGGCCTTAAATACGTTAATCACAGGCTTACAGTTTGTTTTAGTTGAACTATTTAATCTCAGTCTACAGAGGTTTTTTTTTCTGGACTTTTTCTATCAGGCATAATTTGAAATCCAAACTCGCTGCATTCTGAGAGTCGAGGTTAAGGCTGCTAGCAACTAGCTGCTAATACCTGCTAGCTCGCTAGTTTGCCTGATAGCTCTGTGCTAGCCAGTAAGCAAAGAAGTCATAAGGTCAAGTTTATGGATCAGAATCCAGGTTAGGATCAGAACCCGGGTTTGGATCCTCAGTAGCTCTCCTCTGATCTCTCGTCAGCTGATGCAGCGCCTCTATCAGGACTGTAACTTGGTCCACGCCGACCTCAGTGAATACAACATGCTGTGGTACCAGGGGAAGGTACGGCCCGTTTTCCTGGTTCTGTTCAGGTCCGCCGGTGCTCAGCTTCACCTTCATCCTCCTCCTCCTCCTCCAGGTGTGGCTGATAGATGTCAGCCAGTCGGTGGAGCCCACCCATCCTCACGGCCTGGAGTTCCTCTTCAGGGACTGCAGGAACGTTGCCACGGTAACGGCAGCTTCACTCAGGTACGGGCCGCTTCATCAGAGGAGTGATGGTTGACGGTTCTGGTTCTCCAGTTCTTCCAGAAGAGGGGAGTGAGCGAGGCGCTGAGCGTCTACGACCTTTTCAACGCCGTCACTGGACTCAACATCCCGGTCAGCGCCGACGACGACGCACACTTCCTGGCTGAGGTAACGGAGTGACTGGACCCGGCCGGTTCTGGAAGCACCATGCTGGTACCAGCTAACAGGCTGCTGGCTCCAGTTAGCTGCTAATTTTACCTTCAACATCATGATATGGGGTGTTGATTGAAAGAGGTCAAAATATAAGAAAACTTCTCAGACCCGTCCGTTCTGAGCGTGTGCGGTGACCCCTCACCTCTCTGTCCTCACAGATTGTTGCCATGGAGAAGCGGAACGAGGACCACGTCCAGAAGCGGGGGAAGAAGACGTTCCCGGTGATGTCGGAGGACGGCGATCCTCCTTTAGACCCCGACTCTGATGACTAGTCCCCCCCCTCCCTCTAACGGCCCGACTCGCTTTGATCCGCCATGTCAGAACCGCTGGCGTCCGGTCCCACCGCCTCCTCCCAGGCGGGACGGAGCGCCACCTCCTGGCTGCAGGAGGCAGAGAGCGTCATGTCCTCCTGCTTATTGCTGTTTGATGTGATGAAGACAATAGAAGCAGACGAAGGTTTTCACTCCAGACCTGATGGGTGAAAGCCAATCAGATGTCCTAGTTAAATCCACCGAGCTGCAGCTATAAACTGGGTGTTTTCATCATGAATCGGTCTGTGTGTTTTGATTTTTAAAAGGTGTTGAGCTCAGGTTTCTTGCTGTAGTTCCATGTTTGATTTTAACCAGGTGGGACAAAAGAGGAATGTTAGGATTCATTGACTGAATGTGGAAAATGAAATGTTTGCTGTGAGAAAACATCATAAATGTTTTTATTCAAACTCATACGAAGTAGGTAAACAATAAAAAAATATGAAGGCATGAGAATCTACTGTTTTTATTTATACAGGCGACCATTCACTACTTTCTGCTGAAGAACATGAAGCTCGTGATTCATGACAATCACATGACTAGATAAGTGAATGCTTCCGGTTTGGCTCTGTCAAAATAAGACTTTCAAATTACAAGACGGATTCTGTCCCGTTGTCGAATTCAGCATCACCGAACTTCAACCCCCTGGAGATCATGATCTTCATCTAAAAAATCCCCACATCCTCCTGAAGAAAGTAAGTTTCTGAAAAATATTAACAGAAAAAGGGTCTGAAAAGAGAGAAGAGATCAATCCTAATCTTCATTGTAACTTGTATTTGGATAAAATATTCCACGTCAAAATAAGCATTGATTAAATAAAATATAGAATTTATTCAAGTAACTGAATTAAACACCGATGATTAATATAAAACTAGAGCTAGAATTCCCCGTGAAGTTGATCCCGGTTATGCTCTTATTTTGAAGGAGTGAAGCGAAAGTTCCGTCCTTCAGCTAAAGCTAATGCTCCGCTGCTTCCGCGTTGTTTTCCTCCTTCAAACTGCAGGTAAGGTGAAGGCCAGGTGAGTCGGGATGGCGGAGGAACATTACCTGGAGCTGAGCGAGAACCCGGTCCAGTTTGAGCATGCGTCGAGCGTCAACAACGTCTTCTTCGATGAAGCTAACAAACAGGTAAGCTAACCCGGTGGCCTCCATTCAGTTAGCAGGCTGTTAACAAGACTTGGTTTACACCTGGTTACACAGGTAACAAATGATGTGTTTGAATTAGCTGTTTGTAGCAGAACTAGAACCGGCAGGGAGAAGGGGTGTATTTTCTTTTAAAACAATTTGAAATGTTGCGGGTTTTTGGTGCCCTGCGTTCTGTCTGCAGGTGTTTGCGGTGCGTTCAGGTGGAGCCACAGGTGTGGTGGTGAAAGGGCCTGATGACAAAAGCAGCGTTGCTTTCAGGTACATCAGATCATATCAGGTTCGAAGCTGTGAAGTGTCCAGAATGAAGAGGTCAAAGGTCAGGCTGATGGTTCTGTTTTCCTCTGCAGAATGGATGACAAAGGAGAGGTTAAGTGCATCAAGTTCTCCATCGGGAACAAGATCCTGGCGGTCCAGCGGACCTCCAAGTCCGTGGTGAGTTCAGGGACCGTTTGGAGGTAGAAAGGATCTGGGTTCTGTTTGGTTCTGGTTCCTAACCGTCTGACCGCGTTTTCAGGACTTCATCAACTTCATCCCCGACTATCCGCACACAGAGTTCACCCAGGAGTGTAAGGTCGGTCCATCTGCAGGTCAAAGGTCAAGTAATGGAGGCGGTTCTGTCCGCTAATGGCTTCTGTTGCTCCTGCAGACGAAGAACGCCAGCGTTCTGGGGTTCTGCTGGACCAGCTGGAATGAGATCGTCTTCATAACGGACCAGGGCATAGAGTTCTACCAGGTTGGCCCGGGTCATTCCCCGGAGACTCGGTTCTGACCCGGAGCTCACCTGTGTGTCCGTGTGTCCAGGTGTTCCCAGACAAGCGCAGCCTGAAGCTGCTGAAGAGTCAGAGCATCAACGTGAACTGGTACCAGTACTGCCCAGAAACGGCCGTGATCCTCCTGTCCACCACGGTGCAGGGCAACGTCCTGCAGCCGTTCGCCTTCCGGGTCCGTCTCTCCTGATCCGTTCTGGAAGTTCTGGTGTAGCGCAGAACCTTACTGTAGAGCGGATAATATTAGCATGCTAACCCCTCAGGCTGTATGATTTCCATGTTTCCCATTAGCGTTTTGCATTTCAGGATAACGGATTTTTTTCAAGATGGCCGCTGTTTTTGAGCTTTTTAACGTTGACGTTCTCCGTGTTCATGACTTTGTCACATCATACGTTTTCGACTTTGATCAACATTTTCATGCAACTTTAAAGTAATAATATGTAGCGGTTTGTGAGTCTCACACCAACTGGAAGATGAAGGTGTGGAAGACAGTTGCTTGCCGTCTTATTGGTTAGCGTTAGCATCCGCTAATTTTTTGTGTGTAGCATTTTATCACTAGTTCAAGCACATTTTTAGGCTTTTAGAAGTCTGGTGTTAAGCAAATTTTTATGTTTGTTAATGTACACAATTTTTTTTAATGTCATCTGGAAGGAGATGAAGATGATTGACTGAAAAACAGTAGCTAAGATGTTAGCATTAGCTTCTGCTAATTTTTTGCATCGTCAAAGTTGGTGTTCTTGTTTAGCTAGTTAGTGAATCTAACTTTTTAATTAGCTGTGTCCCATAACTACTGCTGTTAGTTAAAAAAAATCTCAATTACAACCACGGCAGCCATTTTGCAAAATGTAAAACAGAAAAAATAAATAAAAGAATAAATGAAGAAAATATACATAATTTCTATTCAAAATATGGAGGCTATGATTTGACACAAAACAGTTTCATCTAATTTGTGATTTTAGTGAAAAAATGAATATTCCATGACAACCATGGCAGCCATCTTGAATTCTTCAGTGGCCATGTTTGTGAAGTGATTTATTTATCTGACATATTCACCATCTTCTTCTCTGACCTCCAGAACGGAACCATGACCAAGATGACCAAGTTCGAGATCGAGCTGCCGGTCGTCCCCAAACCGGCCAAGCTGACGCTGTCGGAGAGGGACATCGCCATGGCAACCATGTAGGTGGCGGTTGGTTGGGCTGGTTGATGATGACTGCTGATGAAGCTGCGCACTCTGTGTGTGTGTGTGTGTGTGTAGCTACGGCCAGCTGTACGTCATGTATCTGAAGCACCACTCCCGGACGGCGAACAGCCCCGGAGCCGAGGTGGTCCTCTACCACCTGCCCAGGTGAGTCGCCGCTGCGTTCAGAACACCCACTCCAGAACCGGCCCGGTTCCGACACCGACCCGTCCCTCTGGTTCTGCTCTTCTCCAGGGAGGGCGCCTGTAAGAAGAGCCACGTCCTGAAGCTCAACACCACTGGGAAGTTCGCCCTGAACATCGTGGACAACCTGATCGTCGTCCACCACCAGAGTTCTCAGGTCAGCCGACCGGACCCGGGACTCGGCAACCGGACTCGGACTTCACTCATACAGATACAGGACTCGACTTGCACTGGCCCCTGAAGACAGGCCTAAGCCTGAGACTCGAGTCTTGCCCTGTGTTTCCAGCCCTCAGCTGATTATTTGATGTAAACTTGTAGATCTGACCTGTGACTCTCCGGGTTTGGACCTGGTACCTGGCAGACTCGTTTCTGTCGCGTGCTGACGGACTGACCCGTGTTTTTCTCCGGCAGACGTCTCTGATCTTCGACATCAGGCTGAAGGAACCGGACTGTGCCGTTAACACCCACCAGCCGGTTCTGCCGGCCCGGTCCATCCATCCCTACAGGATTCCTCTGTCAGGTACCCGACCCGGTCAGAACCACCCTCCAAGTCCACGTTCAAACCTGACTCCGAGTGTTTCTGCAGGTCCGGCCGCCGTCCCGACTCAGCCGCCGGTTCCGTGTCAGCTCTGTATCCTTTGGGTTTTAGCATCAGAACCAGGTCAGAACCGCTGACTGCCTAAAACTTTCAGAAAATGACTGGGAAGGCAGAAAGCAGGTCACTTCCTGTTTTAGACGCATTTTAACCTGTTGGGGAAACTGAACGAGGTCAGTTCTTCACCACCGACAGGAAGTAGACCCGATTCTTTAACCCAGAACAAAGTTTATTTTTCATAAAATCACAAGATCTTCTGATTGTTCAAGCTTTGTGACCAAAACAGAAAATTTATTTCCTGTTTTCAAACATTTAAATTGAGGAAAAAATCCTGATCAAAGAACAAGTCAAAGGGTTTGCTGACTTGTTGGGTCAAATCTTTCCAAATTAAAATTTCATATCCAGGTTTTTCTACCGTTTGGTCCCTCCAGGATTTTACTATTTATTTTACTGATTTATTTTTTTATTTTACTTTAGAAATGAACCAGATTTTATTTATTCATCTTATAATTTCTCCAAACATAACTCAAAAAGTTTCTCCTGGTCGTGAGATTCATGATGGAGACGTTCAGTTACATAAATTAAACAGTAACATGTTGGGTAGCTCTGCTAATCCACCTCTTTGCTTTTGCTTCTCCTCTATGAATTTGTCTGGTTGGAATCGAGGATGAGATGATGGGGTCGGGGGTGAGATGCTTGTTATGATTGTTTGAATTTTCTCTCTCTGCATCTATGAGAGAGAAAACTCCTGTTTGACTTGTTGAGGGTCAAAGGTCACTTACTTTAGACGTTTAGTTTATTTTCCTGACTTCTGACCCAGACTCTTCCTCCTGGAGCGTCTTCCAGCCCGACATCATCATCAGCGCCAGTGAAGGTTTGTCCTGCTCCTGCCCGAGTTAAAGGTGACTGGATTGTTCCGTAACCTCTCACCTGTGCCCCAGGTTACCTGTGGTACCTGCAGGTGAGGTTGCCCCCTACTGTCCATCTGCTGCAGGACAAGGGCAAGCTGATGGACTTCCTGCTGCGACGACGGGACTGCAAGATGGTGATCCTGTCCGTGTGCTCTCAGAGTGCGTCTCCCGGTTGTCGGCGTCTCCACCTGCCAGGCAGGAAACTCACGACTGTTTCTGTTCCAGTTCTGGACGGGCAAGAGAAGGGCAGCCTGCCCGTGGTGGCAACCGTCTTCGACAAGCTCAACCAGGTGTACAAGGAGTACCTGGAGGCGGAGCAGAGCTACACGGCGGTGAGCGCAGGAGTCCCCGGCTCTCTGAACAACCGGCGACCCGGTTGGGCTAAACGAGTCTCTGTTGGGTCTGCAGGCCATGGAGTCGGGTCCGAGTCGGGGCGGTGGCGCCCAGAAGCGGCCGGTCCGGACGCAGGCCGTCATTGACCAATCAGACATGTACACTCACGTCCTGTCAGCATTCACAGAGAGGAAGGTGGGAGGAGCAGGGAGGCATCCCATAATGATCCGTCATCAAAACATGGATAATTTATCATTAAATATCAGATTTTATTCATCTAACGTCCCTGTAGGTTCAGCGGTTTGTCGCCCCATTGCTGCACGCTGTAACTACACTGTTCTAATCTCCAGCTTTGATGGAGAACATATAAAAAATAATAGTCCAGAGTACATTTTCACCAAAATGCTTTAGTTTTTATAATTAATTTCACATAAAGTGTTTTTACCTCCAAACTAAAACTTATTTAGGCTGATTCAAAAACTTTAATCTGCTGCTAAACGTTTCTGTTCGTTTTCCTGCAGGACGTGTCCCATAAGTTCATCATCGCCGTGCTGATGGAGTACATCCGCTCCCTGAACCAGAACCAGATCACCGTCCAGGTAAAACGCGCAGAGTGAGCGCTCCAGCCTCCCGTTTCTCCATCTTTGACGGCGCTGCCTCTGATTGGTTGCAGCATTACCTGTATGAGCTGGTGATCAAGACTCTGGTCCAGAACAACCTGTTCTACATGCTGCACCAGTTCCTGCAGTACCACGTCCTCAGCGACTCCAAACCTCTGGTCAGAACTTCAGCACGGTGGTGGCAGCATCATGCTGAGGGGGGCAGTGACCCGACTCAGCTGGTTCTGTTTGGTTCTGTGTTTCAGGCCTGCCTGCTGCTGTCTCTGGAGAGCACCTACCCTCCGGCCCACCAGCTGTCTCTGGACATGCTCAAGGTACAGAACCGAACAGGAACTGGGCCGGAACCAGCCCAGAACCAAACAGAACCTCACCAGGCTACACGCTAACATTCTCGTCTCTCCAGCGCCTGTCGACAGCTAACGATGAGATCGTGGAGGTTCTGCTGTCCAAGCAGCAGGTTCTGGGCGCGCTCAGATTCATCCGCAGCGTTGGTATGACGGTTAGCCGTTAGCTCCACAGCTCTTCGACCATATAAGGCCTTCCTGTAACCGTTCACCCGGTTTGTTGATGCAGGCGGCCATGACAACGTGTCAGCCAGGAAGTTCCTGGATGCGGCGCGGCAGACGGGAGACCAGATGTTGTTCTACACCGTGTTCCGGTCGTTCCAGCAGCGGAACCAGCGCCTCAGAGGAAACCCGTCCTTCAACCCAGGTCAGAACCAGAACCTCTTCTGTCTGGCCTCTGTAGTTCAGAGTGATGCACAGCTGCCATCTTGTTTCCAGCTGGTGTTCATTCAGACTTTGAATTCAGAGGACTGATTGAACTAAAAGCCTGTTTTTATATTTTCTGTTGTTTAGAATTTTTTTTCGAGAAACCAAAGGGAAGGAATAAAAATCGATTAAAATCAGATTAAGAATAATTTTTATTTTAAAAGATCTGAAGAGAAAACATGTTTCATTGTTTCCTGAAGATGACGTAAAAACTAAGAAACCTCATTCCACTCGAGATCCAAAGGTCTGGAAACCTTCTGGACTGATGGAAAAAACTACCAGTGTCTGGACTGATCTGCTAGCCGCTCTCTCCTCTCTCGCCGGCTAGCCGCTCTCTCCTCTCTCGCCGGCTGGCCGCTCTCTCCTCTCTCGCCGGCTGGCCGCTCTCTCCTCTCTCGCCGGCTAGCGGCTCTCTCCTCTCGCCGGCTGGCCGCTCTCTCCTCTCTCGCCGGCTAGCCGCTCTCACCTCTCGCCGGCTAGCCGCTCTCTCCTCTTGCCGGCTAGCCGCTCTGTATTGAGCAGCGTCTCTCATTATAGAACGATTTCAGCGACTGTCATGAGATGCTAATACTAGCCTGGTAGCTGAGTTACAGTCTGATGTGTCGGTTACCAGGGGAACACTGTGAGGAGCATGTGGCCCACTTCAAGCAGCTGTTTGGGGAGCAGGCGCTGATGAAGCCATCCACGGTGTGACCCCCCGCCCCCCACATGATGACCTCTGACCCCCATAGGACCAAATGGACCCAGCAGAACCACCAGGAAGGTTCCAGCATCATCCTCTTCCTCACAGCCCAAATCTCTCTCTGAATAACTCCAGCTGGAAATATTTACACTGCTAATCTGTCATTTATTTCATTATAATTATAATGAAATAAACTGCAGATGATTTTTTTGGAACATTATTAAGTGTGAAATGTAACTTCATCCCTAAAATACAGCGACTTTCAGAGCAGCAGATCCTTTAATATTTGTGTAGCTATAACTCCATGTCTGTAAATAAACACATGAACACAAACAGAAAATCAGTATCTGGGTCACCTGTTGTGGGCGGAGCCTGAGCTGCACCTGTAGGCAAGGGCGTAAATCCCATCTCATTATTGGGGGGATTATAAACAGGAACATTTGAACTGAAATTCAAATGTTTGTTCTATACGAGTTTTGTTCAGTCTGACTGATCGAATCTCTGCTACACCTTTGCAAAAATTTAAGGTTCTAAATACAAAAAATTCCTCATAAACATTGATTTATTGAAATGGCTCCCAATACAAGTTATGGGCTGTTTAAATTATAACTTAAGTTGCTTTATTTTTAAGCCGTTTTTAGTTTTGTCCTGGGTGCCGGAGAACCAACAGGTAGATAGAAATGAATATCTGGGGGGTATTATAACTTAAACGTGACACTGAAAGCACCAGGGCTTCTACAGAAAAATATTCATTTTATTTTGTGGCTCTGCATTGAAGACAATGAGAAATAAAGGCAGTTTTCTGTTTTTCTATCCGCTCTCAGCTCCCACTCTGAGCTGGTCCACCTGCTCAGCTCCTCCCTCCCGTTTCAAACTCTTCTAATTAACTAAAAGTTAAAGAGTTAAATATGAATGAGATGTTTGCTACCTTTAACAAAAAGCTTAATTCTATGAAAGCAGTGTAGCAGTTTTGCTAATAAGGCAGTTTATCATGATTCAGCCAAAGTAATAAAATAAACTGCAGTCTGATTTTTATTGTCAATGTGTTTGTTGTTATTGAGCAGTGAAAGTAAATAAAATGTTTACATTTCTTTTAAGTATTTACTTACTGGAGGGTTTTTATTTGTGCTGCAGAGCCACAGCTAACAGCTAACAGCTAGCTCCTCACTTAGCGGCTCTGACTGAGCCTGTGGTTCAGCCAGCTGCTGCGCCTCCTTCACTTTGGACTGAACCATTGTTCATGGTTATGGTGGGGGGGCCTAAAAATTCATTCTTATTTTTTTCTGAGATAAATGGCAGATTCATTTCGTTTTTTGTTTCTTTTGCCTTTTCATAAAGGCAAAAGGGGGGGGGGATTTATACCTATGCGTGTATGATTCTGCATAACTTTGATGTAAATCTGTGATCATTACGTAAAATAAAGGATTATAATAAGTCTGGATTTTATGTGAACTTAACGGCTTTTCTCCACTGACTGAGAACAATCACAACATTTAAAACTTTACATCTACTCACCTGAGCAGGTTTGAAGCTGCAGACATCCTGACAGCCACCAGGGGGCGACGGTCCTCACAAACCACCCGGAGCTCAAGATTACTGCAAGTAAAACTAATAATTGAAAGAAGAAGCTTAACATTTTTCCTTCAGTAAGTCACAATTTTTTATAAAAGACGCATGACTCCTTCAGGCTCAAAACCTTTAGGAGCCTGAAGACTGCAGTTGGACACAAAATGGTTAATAAAGTAGAATTGGGAGGAAAATAATGCACCAAATTTTCTACAAATATACTTCAGCTGAAATCTAATAAAATGCAGTTATGTTTATGGTTATTATAATCCAGGATGTGGATGTTTGCACAAAACTCTACCCAATAGGATGAATTTTGATAAAAACTCTTGAAAACATTCTGATAATCTGAAGCTGTACAATATAAACCTGTTGACCAACAGGGGGCAGGACTGAGCCGACCAAAACCATCAGATTAGCCGTTTAACCTAATTTAAAAAGCTTAATTCTGACCACTTGAAGATTAAAGTTAACTAAGCAGATATTTATAATACCAAGACTTGGCACTTTTTGCACATTATTCCAACAAAAACAGCTGAAAAACCTTAACAGCAAAAATTAGCCTAACCTAGCGCCAAATTAGCATGTTTAGCTTCAAGTGAAACGCGGCTAAATTAACGCCTAGGGGAAAACAATTCAAAATATTAACAGTTTGTTATAATCAGAATATTAAAATGAGCTACATTAACTTTTATTATATTTAATAAACTTACATGAGTCCAGTCCCGGTGGTTTCTTCTCCGACACGAACAGATCCAGGTTCAGGTAATTCTCCTACACTGCCCCCATCTGGCGGTTCACAGAACCGCATCTCTTCCCATTATATTTTTGCGACTTGAAATTTGTTTAATATTTCTTAAGTAGCTCATTGGGACATATTTAAAGTATTTTGAAGCCAATAACACAAACTTTTTTTTCCGAATCACTTAATCTATAGTAGAGGATTAGGGCCACTTCCAGCCACACTACAGAAAACATTTAGCTGATACCTCTTACTTCTATCATGTTTGCGGCTTTCAGCCTCTAGGTGATGTCTTTAGGTGGCCTCCAACTTCCACTGGACGTTTTGACCCTTAACCCCAACACCCTCCAGTCACTGCTTGTCCTCTCTTGGTCTCTAGCTGAACTGCTCCTGTTCTAGCCGACTAGCTGCTCCTTCTGCTGCCTCCCCCAGCCTGCGGACAGCAATCTGCCGCTCCTTCCTGCTACTCCCAGAGCCGTGCGTCTTCCACACAGTCCTGTGGGACTGTCAGTTCAATCAGGAAGATCTTCTTTGACTCCTCCAACCACAAAAGCCTCATCAGGTCTCTGCGATGTCTTCACACACTACGGGAAGTCTGGCCTCCTTCCCAGCTCCACTCTTGATTGTGTAATCTCAGTCATGGACTAAAAGTCTTGATGCTTTGGGGAAAGCCTCCTGGGAAAAACGTGACAGGCAGACATTTTGAGACTGAAGGAAACATTGGCACCTCTACAGCGAGGCCAGACTCTGACTAACTCTACACCACCGGGTTCTCAAATCCAGGCCTAAAGACGCGCGTTAGCTGCATCTTTGCTTCTACACACCAGAATCAATCAGGTCATTAGTGAACTTCACTGCATACTGAGGAGTTAATTATCTGGTTCAGGTGACCAGGGACACTTCTTAAAGTTGCAGGACACCAGATTAGATGACCCTTGACCTTTTTGGGTTGTTTTCCATTACAGTTGGATAAGCGCTCTAGTGAATGTGTCGTCATCTAGTTGAGGGGTCCCAGAGTCTGAAAAGTAGCAAAACGTGATCAGTACTCGACACAAACGACGGAGGAGATGGAGGTTATGTTGGACATTCTGCTCAGTCCACCATTGTCCCTAAACACTCTTCCAAATGGTGGTTTGGCTTGTTGAAAGGGAGTCGCGCTCGTGATGCAATCAGTGACTGTTGGTCTTCTGATGTCATGTTGAAGTGAACTCTGGTTTGGTTTGAATGTGAACGCCAAGTGGACCAGAGACCGCTCCAAAAGCAGGAAGTGGACTACAGCATTCAGGACATTCTGGGTAAATACAACGAAAGCTAACATGCTAGCCTAGAGCTAGCAGCAGAAATGGCTGCTAGCGCCATTTTGCTAAAGAGAAATCCTCCAACCACTAAAATCTGACGCCTCCATCTTGTTTCCATCTGGTGAAGAAAGAAGTTTCTCTCAGTGTCTTCATAGGTTTTTAGTCATTTCCTTCAATGGTTCTTGGTGCAGCGCCCCCACAGGCCAGGAGGGGAACAGGTTGCTTAAGGGTTTGGTTGATTTGACTCGGCGAGAAAGAGAACTGAGTCTATTAGGTGTTAAGCAGCCTTAATGAGAGGACTACTTCAAGGCCCAGAATCCGGTTCTGACGATGAAAGAAGACAGAAGTATGACCCGTGTTGATTCACACACCTTTCCTTTACATAATCTTTATTGCTTTTTCTTATTGGGTTGAATACAGAGGAGGCTTACATCTCTAGACTCTGTGAAACACTGTCATGTTGCTAACAGCAGGGGACAGAAAAAGATCCAGACTGTGTTTTTATAATGCTTTGTGATTGAGGTCCAGTACACAAAGAAAAACTCATTAAATAAAACAGAAAAGGCTTCAGATCAGAGAGTTTGGAGACCAAAAATCGAACCACATTTTCTGTGTCTGGTAACGACGAGTTCACAGTCAAGTGCTAAATGTAGTGATTGACAGATCTGAATCATGATGTCATCTTTAAAAAAGACAAAGGAATCTGGACAAGCTGCGACTCAGGAGGAAAACAAGAAGCATTTCAAATCATGGATTTGTGAAAGACCCTGAGAGCGAGATTATATAGATTTTGATATTTTTATATATGTGTGTGTAGCACAAGAAGTGATGGAGAAAGGAGAAATCATCCATAATGAACAAATTAGATTAACATGCAAAAAAATCTAACCTAAAACTCACCCTTTAATTAATCACAATAGATTTTCACAGTTTTATATGCATTTATGTCATAGAAGAAAACTAAAAATAAACAGAACCAACAGACCCAGACAGACTGTTCTCGACTCACACACAGGAAAATCTACATAAAGCTTTTGGATTCTTATTGCTAGTCCGAGTCCCTCCTGCCGAGCCCTGGAGCAAACCGGTCGGGCCACAACAACAGAAACACCAGATCCTCAACAACTCTGCAGCATAAATGTGACATTTTAATACATGGCTTCTTCTCAAGTCATTGCAGACAATTAAACTCACACACAGAAACACACGCCTGGGCTCCAAATAAATACAATAAAAACAGTCCATGTGCATTCGAATGGAAGTCCAGTATTCATATGGCCGCACACGCAGACGGGACAGACGTGGAGACAAACCCCCTGAGGACAGGGAGGACACAGGAAGAGACAAGACAGAAACCATCGAGAGAGAAAGGGCCGCTCCTTCACCGACCTCTGCAGGAAGTTTAATTCATGAGAAAAGCATCGATTCTTCTCCGGCACAGCTAACGCTAACAACAGAAGCTAATGAAGGCCGTTAGCATCAAAATACAGTTCAGCTTAAACAGAAAGATATTTATGGACTATATTCACAACTTAATTACTAAGATATGGTTTGTTGTTTTCTAAAGACTAAAGCTAAGGTTTAGCATTAGCTTCACTTCAGCGTTAGCGCTAACTTTGTTTGCAAATTTGTGAAAATTAGTCTCAAATTGGCACATTTTGCAAATAATTTGGTGATAATTTTATTTAATGTCTGATAAAAATAAAAGTTACAGAAATTTTTCACTACTTAGCATCAGGAAGGGGAGTTAGCCTGTTAGCAAGGTCCTATATTCACTAAGAATTAAAACGCTCTGCAAAATAGTTTTGGAAAGAAAAATAAGTAATAAAAATCCATATGGCAGAATTTCATTCCTAAACTCAAAGATTTATTGTTTTGTAACAGTTCAGCTAGCTTGCTTTGGGTTTCAGCAAATGAGTTTTTAGTTCTTTTAATCTGCGATAATCCGGAAAATAAGGAAAAATTTCAGACATTATTCAGAAAACTTTCTACTCAGGGAAAAGAAACATTAGCCAATCAAACAGTTTTTATCCCTTAGCACTGCTAGCATCAACAAAGTTACATGTTTGGGTAAATTAATTCCAACTGGTAAATTTCATCAAACAGAATCTGCTCATCATTATGGAAGGAAAACTGATCGAATGGTTGACTGAAATCTGACAGAAAACTAAAAACAGCGACCTGTTAGCCTGTTAGCCGAGTAGCATCTTGACTAAAACCCATCAAACTATTTTCTTATCATCAATTAATCAAAAATCAACCTAAAAACATCCAATTTGGATTTTATTTAGCTTTTTTTTAAATATTAGCATAAAGAGTAGCTGGTGTTAGCAACCTCAGGTAGAAAATTATAACTCAAGAGCTTTTTTAAGTTTCAGATACCTGATTAATGGTTGAACATAATTAATAACAAAAGTTTTTGATGTAATAAAGTCCAGTTGTTTGTTACAGAAGCGGCTAAAGAGGCCGAGCCTTTCTCTCCTGACTGTAGTTAGTAGTACGAACAGAAGAGGTGGTAGTAGTAGGTTTGGAAAACGTTAGTGCCAGTTCAGGGCAGCGATGAGCCAATCGGAGCGGTTCCACTTCTCTAAAAATCCTTGATTCGTCTCTAATGAAGCCGCTAAACGACCGACCATCACCGCCTTACAGTTCCAATATAAGCCACTGAGGTTTGATTTGCTTATGAGGTCATCTAATATTAAAAAAGAAAAATGTTCAAGAAGCAAAGTTTTCTACACACAAGCAAGAAAAGAAGAGACAGCCAGGCTACCGTCCCTCTGCTAAGGTTGGTGCTGATGGACGTTTAGCCCTTTAGAACATGTGCAGCAGGTTTCGGACACCAAATAGTGTTCACACCAACCTGTTTTATTCTATATAAACCTATCCGCCTATCCTCTTCTGGAAACCAATGATTGTCTCTAATGCTCAGCTGAAGACCTTTAGGGTCAGCTGTAAAGTTCAGACGTTTCCAAAGGAAATACGCGTCGAGGCGGACCCTAAGAGAGGAGATGAAACCCGGACAGGACCCAGGAAAACGCCAGACAGACGATAATACTGTAGGGGAGTAAATGCAGGTTTAACTGAGCTGAAGGTCAGATTGTCTGGATGATGCTACACCGATCTAGTGTCGTCCCGTTCTGACACGGAGCTGAAAGGCCGCGGGTCAGCTACACACAGCGTCTGTCTGAGCCCAGAAACACCTCCGATATCGCCTTGCCCACACTCGACAAGTTAGCGCTCATTAGCGCCTGTTAGCGCTCATTAGCGCCCGCTAGCGGCGGCCGCCTCGGTTTAACCGGGCGACCCGGGAGGAAGACGTTGGATTTTCAGGGCTGCGTCCGGAGCTGCGCTAACAGCTTCAGTTAAAAAGCAAAAGTTGAGGTAAACTGAACCTGGAACAGGTGTTAGTGCCGCTACATGTTAGCATGCCGGAGGCCCTGCGAGTTACCCTAAAAACAAACACTAGGGGGCGACGATGAGAGACAGGCCAGAGACACGCTCACATTCACGCTGAAAAACACACAAAAAACGTTCAATTTGTTCAGTTAAAAAAAGAAAATCCACAAAACCAGAAGCCCCCCCAAACACACCTAAATATGAATGCAAACATGCAGAGAGCCGAGCGGCGCGGCCTGGAATCAACGGAGAATCATGATGAGAGAAACGCCTCTGGGGGGGTAGTGTGATGGGTTTAACCAGGAACGACGGCGCCCCCCCCAGGTCAGTCTGAAGGTTTCCATGAGCCAGCAGAGATGGGAGTCAAACCGGCAGGTTTCCAGTTACAACAGTTTTCCTCAGTCCCATCGCCAGGCGCCATTTTATTCAGTCTAAATCTGAAACATGATGTTCAAACCGGAGCAGCAGAAGTCCGTCGCCGCTCCGGTTCGACCCGAACAGTTCCCAAGTCCGTCCGCGTCTCCAAGTTGATCATCGATTCTCAAAACACAAATCTAGAACAATAAATCGTAATCATTTAATCTTTTTATTGCTGAAATATAGATTTCCCGCACAAAAATAGTAAATCACTGTCATCATAAAAAGCTATAAAAATTTAGATCCATCCTCCGGAATAACGCAGATAAAGATATAGCAACAAAAACATCTTTAGAAGTCGGACTAGTAGTAAGGCACTTCAAGAAAACGAGGTTCTGTCTTTCGGGAGAAGATTTTACGCGCTGGTTTTTGCATCATCGTCGTCGTCGTCCTTCGGTCGTATGGCACTGCGGTGATGGGGTCCCTCAGTCTACGCCCACCAGGGGGGGCTCTCCGTTGGGCAGCCGGCGCTCCAGCGGTGGCTTGCTGTGGATCTCCAGCAGCCCCTGAATGAAGCCGTCTGCCGCGGCGCCCCCTGGTGGGCAGCTGGCGGGATCTTTGGCGCCGTCTGGTGGTGCGGGTGAGTCGGTGCTGGTGCTCGTCTTTGATTCAGTAGCTTGGTGGGGGTCGGCGCAGGGCAGCGGGGCCGGGTCGGACCGTTTCTCCACGTCTTCCTCCCCCGCCGACCCAGAACCCTCCCGCTGACCTTCGACCTCCTCCTTGGAGTCCTCCTCCTCCTCCAGCTCCTTGGCCCCCGCAGCGCCGCTGCCGCACTCGCTCTCGTTCTCAGACGGCGGGCAGGTGGAGGTGGGGGTGGGGGCGCAGGAGTCTCCGTCCTCGCTGGCGTCGCCGTCGGCGCCTCGCGGCCGCAGGTGGATCCGCTGGTGGCGGACCAGGCTGTGCTTCAGGGTGAAGGTCCGCTCGCACGTCTGGCACTGGTAGGGCCGCTCGCCTGGGGACAGACACAGCGTCACGCCGACAGCACAGAGGAGGGAGTCACCATGGCAACCACAGCTTCCTCCCTCCACCAAAAACCTGAGCTAAGGGCGGGGCCTATCTGCCCCTGGGGCCGGGGCCTATCTGCCCCTGGGGCGGGGCCTATCTGCCCCTGGGGCGGGGTCTATCTGCCCCTGGGGTGGGGCCTATCTGCCCTCTGGGGGCGGGGTCAAGGTGTGCTCTACCTGTGTGTGACCTCATGTGTCTGGTCAGGTCCTGCAGAGACCAGAATCTTTTCCCGCACTCGGTGCAGATCTTCTTCCTCTTGTCCACCCTTCCTCCCTCGTTGTTCTTTGGTTCTGACGCCTCTTCGTCGCTCCTCTCCTCCTTCTCCTTCTCCTCCTCCTCCGACTCTCCGCTCTCGCCTCCATCGCTCTCTCCTTCCCGCTCTCCTCCTTCATCCTCCTCCATCTCCGCCTCCTTCTCCTCCGTCTCCGGCTCAGCAGCTCCGCTCTCCTCTTCCTCCTCCTTCGTAGGTGAAGGACCCTCCTCTTCCTCTGTCACCGCCGCCGTCTGCTCCTCCTCTGAGAGGTGCGCCCTCTCGTGGCGAGCCAGAGTTGTTGCATAGCGGAAACTCTTCATACAAACCCGGCAGACGTGTTTGTAGTCAGGCTGCTGCTTCCCTGCTGGGCTGCTGGCCGAGGAAGAGGAGGGCGCCGGCTTGTCCTGGTCTTCGGGGATCTCCGAGGCGTCCTGGGGCGCAGCTGAAGGAGACGGGGGGCGTGGCTCTTCTTGAGGGGCGGAGCTTGAGGAGGAAGTGGAGAGCTTAAAGTCGATGAGCTTCTTGCCAAAGTTCAGGTCGAGACTCTTGTTGCTGTGGCAGTCGTCGTCGTCCGTGTTCTCGGCCTGAAGGAGCAGGAAGACATGTTGGTCGTTATGCTAAAGATGCTATTCGCTTTGCTACCATCTGGTGGTCGGAGTGTGAACTGCATGTGGTTCATGGGAGGCAGAAGCCTGAAATAGGCCGACTGTGTGGAGTTAGACTAATATATCTGTAAATTCACCAGAATTCTAAAAATGAGTTTTATTTTAGGTTTGAGGCTTTTTAGCGACACCTGACAATTAAGCAACAGAAATGAGTAAAACTAAGTCATCGTTAAATCAAAGAATTACTTTAGACTTTTATGATAAATGAATAATAACTACATAAGTACGAAACCTGTGACTCTGCATTTTAATGTCAAACAGAGGATAAAAGTCTCCAGGACTGAGCTGTACGATCTTTCTGTATTTAGATTAATTTTAAAACAGAGGTCTCTGATGTGGAGGTCGCGACCCCTGGGAGTGTGGCAGACACCAAATGGGGGGTCAGGATATGACTTTCAGAGTCATGTGAGCCCTGAAGGCCAACATTAAATATATCATGAAATAAATAACCACTGAACACAATTTTAATGGTGGTAATAGAATTATTTGACTGCAGGTTAATCTCAGGTGTGTTCTACCTGTGTGTGAAGGTCGTCATTCCTTAAATGCATTTGGGATGAAACAGATTAATTAGCATCACAAAGTTAGCTGTGTAGCTAGTTAGCATCATAGCTAAATTTAGGCTAAGTAGGTTAATAGTGTTCAAATTTATCTAATTAGTGTAACATCTAACAGAACAGAGATAATAACTTAATCAGATATAAAATCAGGCATTATCAGGTCAACCGAGGTATTTAAAGGGACAGTAAATGTTTTGGTTTTAGCCCCGAATCTTGTCTGACAGGCTGTTACCTTGCTGCTCTGCAGAGGCTGTTTTGCTGCTGCTCCTTTGGTCTCTGGCGCCCCCCGTTGGTCAGGCTGCTCAGTGGTTTCTGTGTCTTGTTGCTCTGCAGGTGGACTGCAGCCTGAGGCACAAACGTTAGCATTAGCATTAGCTTACTGTTTATAGATGAGTTATTAATAGATTGAAGTGTTTTCATTGGAATAGATTGAAGTGTTTTCATTGGCTGACCTTGGCTTGTTTTGTGGGTGGGGCTTAGCGGAGTGACGTCAGAGTGGGCGGGGCTGTTGACCGTGGAGGCGGGGCCTGATTCAGGGGCGAGGTCCTTGGTTTCTGGTGGCAGCTGCTCCGTTTCTGATTGGCTCTCTGCAGAAACACAAAGGAACCGTCAAGAGGAGGAGACCCAGGGTTCTCAACATGAGGCTCAGGGTGGCAGCGGGGGACCGGGTCATAAACCACTGGGGAGCGTGGTTGGGGTCCGTACCAGCGCTCTCGTGCGAACCATCGTCCCCCTCCTTCTTCACGATGGCCCCGTTGCGCCGCAGCGTCCGGTGCGTCACGCCGTGCTTGCGCAGCAGGTGGCGCTCACAGTTGGACTTGGTGGAGAAGAAGGCGTCGCAGCGCGGACACGGGAACGGCTTCTGGCCTGAAGGAGACGGAGAGAGGCTTCAGTTCGCCGCTAGGTTTCCTGCTGCTCTGCTGTAGCAGTCTGTGCGGCGGGTTACCTGTGTGCGTTAGCATGTGTCTCTGCAGCGAGCTCATCCAGGGGAACACGCGCGGGCAGAACGGGCAGGTCATCTTCTGCACCGAGTTGGAGTAGGCGTTCTTCTTTCCTTTAGTCTGAGGAACCGTCATGGCCGCCGCCGGCTTCCCCTCCTCACTCGCCCTGTCGTCCCTCTCCTCCACTACGGTGGCTGCGGCTCGTTCCATCGCCGCTGGCGCCGTCTCAGGCCTCTTCGCCGGCTCGGCCGCCCCGGTCTGCAGGTAGGTGCTGAACTTGTTGGCGTCGGTCGTGGCGAGCATCTTCTCCACGCTGGCGAACTCTCCGCTGGATTCCAGGTCGATGCCGCCGCTCGCTGCCTTCTCCCTCGCCGCCAGAGCGGCCGGCTTCTTGCGTGCCCGCCGTCTGTTAGGAGAGGAAGTGTCAGACGCTGCAAATGGTGGCAAAGTATGGCAGAAGGAGGGGAAGTACCTGGAGGATCCGTCGGACACGTCTTCGCTGGGTGGATCCAGGGCGGCGGGTCCGGAGGCTTCGGCGCCAGCGTCGAGCTGCGAGGACGGCGCTGCGGTCTGGGCGGCGCCGTCCAGCATTCCCTGTGCTGCGGACACGGAGCTGATGATCTGAGCGATGGAGGCCAGCGGCGCCAGATCCTTCACCGAGGGCGGCGAGGAGGTGGAGGGCTTGGGCAGCAGCGGTTTGAGGCGCTGCGCCCGGCCGGCGGCGGGAGGCAGCTGGTAGCAGCCCGGCGGGGGCGGAGCTTGCACAGGAAGAACGCTGCTTGCAGCCTTCTCCTCTGGAGACGCAGCGAGCTGCTGCTCCATGGTGGGGCTCTGCTCCGTCTTCAGCTCCGTGCCGCCGCCGGCTTCCCGGCGCTGACGCTTGCTTGGGATGGACAGGTCGATGGGCTGGTCCGGGTCGGCGCCGTCGAAGCCGTGCGAGGCGTTCTCCGTCTTGATGGCCGGAGACGCCGTCCGGCTGCCCCGCCCCTTGGCGGAGAAGTCGAGCGGCTGGTCGAGCTCCGCCGGGTACAGCAGCTCCTCCGCCTTCACCGCTCCCAGGCCGTTCAGCGCAGCGCCGGCGGAGGTGGACGGCAGCAGCGTGGTGATGTGGCCCTCGATCTCGCGCTCCTGGACCTCTGGGTGCTGCTTCAGCAGGTGGTGGATGCAGTTCCGCTTGGCCAGGAAGGCGGCGCCACAGCGCCGGCACTCAAACGGCTTCCTCTGGCAGCCGTTGTGCGTGCGCAGGTGGATCTGCAGCGCGCGGTACGTCTTCAGGTCCTCGCCGCAGAACCGGCAGGTGGTCTCGCAGCCCGTCTCCGCCTCCTGCGTGGTGGTCGCCGCGGTGATGCCGGCTCCGCTGCTGAAGGTGACGTACTTGATGTTCTTCTCGATGTCCTTCCTGGACGTCTTGGCGTGTTTCTTCCTGAGGTGGCGCTCGCAGTTGGCCTTGACAGTGAAGGGGTAGTGGCACATGCGGCAGACGTACGGCCGCTCGCCGCTGTGCGTGCGTAGGTGGCGGATCAGCGTGGCCTTGTCCGGCGCCACGTAGTCGCACATGTTGCACTGGTGGGGCAGGATGCCGAGGTGGAAGCGCATGTGGGCCTGCAGGGCGCCGGAGAGGGCGAACACCTGGTCACAGAAGCGGCAGGGGAACGAGCCTTTAGCCGAGGCGGCGCCGCTCCCCGCTTTGCCTCCCGCCTTCCTGACGCTTAGCCCCGCCTCCTCCTGGAGCGGCGTGGTGGCGGCGGGCGGCGAGTCGGACAGCGGTGTGTTGGCGTCGCCCATCGACTCGGCCTCCATGTGAGCCCCACCTCCCGCCGAGGAGGAGGGCGTCTTGAAGATGGAGGGAGTGGGTGGAGGCAGGCTGGGGCTGATGCAGCCCAGGGAGGCCTGCTGGGAGCTCTGCAGCGGCGGAGGGGTGGTGGTGCTGAGGCTGGAGCGGGGGCTGATGGGAGGCTTGGGCTTCAGCGGCGGCATCGCCTTCTGACCCGTAAGCTGACCTGCAGGATGGAACCAGTTAGAGAGAAGAACCAGTATGGCGGTCAGACTGGGAGAAGCTGGTGAAGGACTGACCTGTGAAGCCCGGCGCCTTGGCCAGCGGCGGCAGCCCCATCTGGTTGGGCGTGGCGGCGGCCACCTTGAGGATCTGCTGGATGTCGGCCAGCTCCATGACTCCGGAGCCGCCGGACTCTCCTGGTTTGCAGCTGGAGGAGGCGGCGCCAGCGGTGGCGGCGCCCCCCTCCGGCTGCAGCAGGAAGCCGGCCTGGAAGGGCTGCAGCGACAGCAGGCTGAGGGCGTCCCGGTGCGACAGGCCCTGTAGGGCGGAGCCGGACGCCTCCAGCAGCGGGATGCTGAGCGCCGCCAGGCCGCCCAGACCCAGGGCCACGCCCAGGCTGCCGGACAGGAAGGCCGAGGCCGGCTCCTGGGGGAGGCTGAAGGACGGAGGCTCCACGTGGATCACCTTGATGCTGTCCAGGTGGGCCTGATGGATCTCGTCGTCGGTCGGACCGGACTTCACCTGGAACATGGCAGCATCGGCATCAGAACGAGAACCAGCAGCTCTGGGCCTCAGGAAGCAGGAGAGGAGCAAACCTTGGACACGTGCTGCAGGCCGAGGGCCTCCAGGAAGCCGCTCTGCTCCGACGGCGGATTCCCCGCTTCCTGACGTTCCTCGTCGGCCCGCGTCTCTCCGTTCTCCTTCGGCCTCTCGGCGGCCTCAGCGGGTCTGTCTGAGTGGGAGGCGGTCTTATGGAGGTCCAGGGCGGAGCGCAGCGGGAACGCCTTGTCACAGGAGTCACAGACGAAGCGGTGGAACTTACTGATGCAGCGCCGCAGGTTGGTCTCACACCACACCTGAAGGGGCAGACAGACGGACGGGTCAGAGCGCCGGCGGAGCCGTGGGACGGCGAGGTGGAGACGGTCCGACCACGGCCGCGGGGCGCACCTGAGCGATGTGAGCAAACTTCTTGCAGGAGAAGTCGATGAAAGCCAGGTCGTTGAAGCCGGTGGGGATGGAGGGGTTGTTCTGGATGAAGGGGCGGCCGCTGGGGTCCTGGGGGAGGAGCTTATGGACCGCCGCGTTGTGCCGCAGCAGTCCGCGGTGAGTCCGGAAAGAGAGGCAGCAGAGATCACACCTGGAGAGCAGAAACCAGGAGAACCAGATTCAAATCTAATCTTAAACTCAGGGTTTGTTTACTCTCTGTATCCGATCCTTTAGCAATGATTTGGACATGAAACCAGAACCGGGTCATCTCTTCAGTTTACGATCCGTTTGGTTCCAGTTCCTGGAAACATTTGGCCCCTATATCGGTTCTGCTGCATGAAAAAGCTAACAGCATCTGGTACCAGTACCTGGGAATGGACTGAGCTACAGAACCAGGTGCTAGACCTGAAACCGGACCAGCAGAACCAAACCAGAACATCAGGAGTTTGATCCTCAAAAGTTTGAAATTCATTCTCCTCC